AAAAAAAAAAAAAAAAAAAAAAAAATCAGTTTATTTTAACCGTTTGGGAAGACAGCGTTTTATATTATGTAACCTACTGAAATGCTATCTAATAATCTTGGGGGCAAAGACGTAGTAGTGAAGATAAACTAGAAATCCCTTTGGGGTATCTGTGATCCAAAAATGTATGATTCTAAGAGAACCCCTTTAGAGCTGATACCATCCTTCCAGACATTACAGAGTTAACCATAGACTAATATAGAGTCTTAGAAAACTTCGGTTCACTGATAAGAAATGTGTAGTTATTTCTACAATATTTTGCTTGAATTCTCAGTTAGGTTTTGTTTTTTGTTCTTTTCAGCACATGGTAGACCACTAGTCCCTTCAAATTCATTTCCCACTTTTGGAATCTAGCTCGTGGCTCTGCCTAGGAGAAAAGAGTCCCAGTGATAGATGTTATAGCACAGAACCAAACCACTCAGGCCACTTTCAGATGATAGATGTAAGGTTCTCTGTCATGTCCAAATTACCTTCAGAAGTCTTTAAAGAAAACACGTGAAAAGGGCTCTGAAGGCAATGCTGTAAGAGACAATGATTTGTCAACTTGAATTCTCCTTGAAGCTTTCAGTGATGCTGAGCTGAAGGATCAGTGTTAAAATACAGTGTTGTTAAACAGTCCTTGCTCAAAGGTCTCCTGAGGAGGGAAAAGTTTTGGTGATGACAGGGCTTTTCCTGAATATTGTCTTGGGCTTTTTGGCCTTGGATCCTAGACAATATGGATAATAGTAGTTGTTCCCCTGCAGTTTAAAACCTTTTCAGAGATAACCGAGCATTATGTGAGTAAATGCAATGGTACCTTCTAAACTGAAACATAAACTTCTAAAATATAGTGGAGAACCCTTTGAAAATAATTTGTTTTCTTACCTGCTAAGTTCTGGGTTAATAGAAGTTTTTTTTAAAAGAAAAAATAAAAGTATTTTCTAAAATACAACATAGTGAATTGTGATCAGCATTTTAAAAAATATGATAGACAGGTTGGGCTTGATTGCTGACGCTTGTAATCCCAGCACTTTGGGAGGCCGAGGCAGGCAGATCACAAGATCAGGAGATAGAGACCATCCTGGCCAACATGGTGAAACCCCATGTCTACTAAAAATACAAAAATTAGCTGGGCATGGTGGCACAAGCCTGTAGTCCCTGCTACTCAGGAGGCTGAGGCAGGAGAATCACTTGAACCTAGGAGGCAGAGGTTGCAGTGAGTGGAGATCATACACTGCACTCCAGCCTGGCAAAAGAGCAAGACTCCATTTAAAAAAAAAAAAAAGATGTTAACAGATTACATTGCACAAAATAAGAGAGTTGTGTTGTTTGGAAAATACTTTATTCAACTATGTATGTGTATATTCGGTTGCAATGTAACCTGTATTTCTTATTGTAAGTCTTCATCAAAAACTGGTATTTAGATTATACAGACTTATTTGGTAGTAGGAGTTTCTGTCCTAAAGATATTATACATCAAATCGCACACCGCATGTTCTCACTCATAGGTGGGTGTTGAACAATGTGGACACAGGGAGGGGAGCACTACACACTGGGATCTGTTGGGGGCAAATAGGGGAGGGACAGCGGGGGGTGAGGAGTTGGGGAGAGATAGCATGGGGAGAAATGCCAGATATAGGTGATGGGGAGGAAGGCAGCAAATCACACTGCCATGTGAGTACTTATGAAACAATCTTGCATGTTCTTCACATGTACCCCAAAACCTAAAATGCAATTTAAAAAAAATTTAAAAAAAGAAGATATTACACATCAGACTTTCTGAAATCTATTATTTAGAACATATTTAATTGGAATTGGCAATATTGGCCAGGCGTGTGGCTGATTCCTATAATCCCAGCACTTTGGGAAGCTGAGTGAGATCCTGTCTGAAAAAAAAAAAAGAAAAAAAAAGAATTGGCAATATTTAGTTATTATGGAATGGGGAAAACCTATGTTGTATCACTAGATAATGTCTATAATACACACACCACTTCATATCTCCCACTGGAGAATCCCTACCATTGTAAACCTAGTGAGATGTTTCCTGTATGTCTAGTCTGTCAGGTTGGGGAAACAAAATGGAGACCTATTGTGGTAGGCCATCACTGAAGGAACTTTTACAAAGACATATCATTATGCTAAGCCCTGATTTCTGAATTTTTCCATTGTAACAGGCAAAACTAGATGGTGGAAGACAGCAATGGAGACCTGTCCTCATGGCTGTGACTGAGAAGGATTTGCTGCTCTATGACTGTATGCCATGGACAAGAGATGCCTGGGCATCACCATGTCACAGCTACCCACTTGTTGCCACAAGGTAAGTAAGACTAAAGATAAGGAAGTAAAATATTTATCCTACTCTAAGTCTACAAAATAATTTTAAAGTGAATTCTGTTATCCTAGATGCCTAAAAGAGCATTTAAGTAGCTGATATAGTTGACGCAGACAACAATTTTTTCTTATACAACCTTATTGATCATTTTGCAGGTCCTAGCTCAGAATAAATTGTTTTTGTCATGAGTATTTTTTGTGTGTACCTTTCATGTTGTCAAAGGAATTTCCTAACTGTTCTTTTCAAGACTTGCTTAGTCATGAAGATTATAGGGTTTTTTTTTCTTTATTTTATTGGCTGTGACTAGAAAACTACTGAAATTGTGGCAGCCTTTTGACTGAGTGATGAAATCATTTAAACCAGAATGTGGTATTGTGGATAAACCACACAACTCAGCCAAAATATTCTTCAACTTCTCTTTCTAATGTAAGAATACATTATTTTGATTCTACGAAATAAACATTGATTTGACCTGAAGCCACAGATTGTTTCTAGCATTCCAGATGTAGAGGGTTAAAAGCAAAAAAGAATAGAGAACTTTAGACTTGGGAGCCAAGATGTCTTATGGGATAATAACTTGGAAACTAGAAAATATATTCAAATTCAAATTTTTTTAGACTTACAAAAGAATCAGGTGTTGATATAACTCAAAAACTACACATTAAAGAAGAGCGTCATGGTAAAGGATTTGGTAGTCAAAAGAACTAAATGATGAAACTATATCCCAGTGTGGATTTCCTGCTTTGAGGAGACAAAGATTCATGTAAGGCAGAGTATTCTCTGCATTACAGGAAACTTTCTCTTTAAAAGATTGCCTTTAACTTGTCACATATATTATTCTTCCCTTATATATATTATTCTTTTTATAAAAAATATAATTTTCACATAGCCTTCCAGTAGTATCTCTGTAATTTAGAGCTGGAGCTCCAAGATTACAGAATGAGATAAAGGATTTGCTGAGCCTCAGTATTAGGGAGGTGTGCCCTCATTAATTCCTTTAGGACAGAATAGTCCTACAGAAATACTGAATTTAACTATCAGTTTCTTTTTTAAAAAAATAAAATATACACTATTCTTTGTTGTAAATTTCCTATATCTGGTTTTTAAAATCCCCACTAAATTAAAACTCCTTTAAGTCCAGAACTATGACTTAGTCCTCTCAGCACTTCCCACAATGCTTTGCTCAATAAATCTTAGTTGAATTAAATTCTTTACTTAAGTTACAGTTTCCTCTGTCATGGTTACATTAGGAATTTGACAGTAATCCTACAAAAACCTATGACCATGTCTTAGTAATTATAATTAGAGCAATTAAATTTATATTTTCCACAGATTTAGAGTTTAGGAATATGACTGTGGAGCTCTCTTATCTTTAAATTTTGAAGAGGCAGCTTACACTTTGGTTCTGATCATAGAATACAAGGAGGGTAGCTTTTTTTGTTTGTTTGTTTGTTTTTTGTTTTTTGAGACAGAGTCTCACGCTGTCACCAGGCTGGAGTGCAGTCGTGCAATCTTGGCTCATGGCAACCTCCGCCTCCTGGGTGCGAGTGATTCTCTTGCTTCAGCCTCCCTAGCAGCTGGAACTATAGGCGCTCTACCATGCCTAGCTAATTTTTTGTATTTTTAGTAGAGTCAGGGTTTACACCATGTTGGCCAGGATGGTCTTAATCTGTTGACCTCATGATCTGCCTGCCTCGGCCTCCAAAAGTGCTGGGATTACAGGCATGAGCCACTGTGCCCAGCCTTTATTCTTATTTAAAATGTGTGCAACTGAAAGCGTGAAGCAGAAGTTTACCACATCCCATAGACGAGCTTTTGTTCAATACTACAAATTAAAATGCCATGAGCAAACCATTTCTTGGCTATAGAGTAGATTAGGCGTGAACCACCAAGCACTTTGATACTAAAGAAGAAGATGGGGGGTATGTGTACTATCAGTGGCATTAATTTGCAAGTAGGGAAAAGATATAGACAAGATTTAAGAGCTAAAACTGTAAAACCCATAGAATAAAATATAGGAGTAGATATTTATGACTTTGGGTTACGCAGAACCTTCTCAGATATGGTACCAAAAGCACAGTTAACAAGAGAAAAAGGCCAGGCGTGGTGGCTCACACCTGTAATCCCAGCACTTTTGGAAGCCGAGGCGGGCAGATCACGAGGTCAAGAGATCGAGACCATCCTGGCCACCATGGTGAAACCCCTTCTCTACTAAAAATACAAAAATTAGCCAGACGTGGTGGCACGTGCCTGTGGTCCCAGCTACTCGGGAGGCTGAGGTGGAAGAATCACTTGAACCCAGGAGGTGGAGGTTGCAGTAAGCAGTGATTGCCCCACTGCACTCCAGCCTGCCAACAGAGCAAGACTCCGTCTCAAAACAAGAGAAAAAATAGATAAATTGGACTTGAAGAAACTTAAAAGCTTTGTGCTTCAAATGTCACCATCAAGAAAGTGAAAAAATAACTCACAGAATGGGAGAAAGTGTTTGAAAATCATATATCTGATGGAACTTATATCTAGAATATATAAAGATTTCTTGACCGGGCATGGTGGCCCAAATCTGTAATCCCAGCACTTTGGGAGGCTGAGGTGATCTGATCACCTGAGGTCAGGAGTTCAAGACCAGCCCGGCCAACATGGTGAAACCCTATCTCTACCAAAAATACAAAAATTAGCCAGTGTGGTGTCATGCACCTGTAATCCCAGCTACTTGGGAGGCTGAGGCAGGAGGATTGCTTGGATATGGGAGCCAGAGGTTGCTGTGAGCTGAGATTGTACCACTGCATTCCAGCCTGGGTGACAGAGTGAGACTCCATCTCAAAAATAATAATAATAATAATTCTTACTAGTCAGTAATGAAAAATGGGGCTGGGCGCGGTGGCTCATGCCTGTAATCTCAGCACTTTGGGACGCCAAGGTGAGTGGGTCACCAGAGGTCAGGGGTTCGAGACCAGCCCGGCCAACATGGTGAAACCCCGTTCCTACTAAAAATGCAAAAATTAGCTAGGTATGGTGGCATGAGCTGTAATCCCAGCTACTCAGAAGGCTGAGGCAGGAGAATCGCTTGAACCCAGGAGGCAGAGGTTGCAGTGTGCAGTGAAACAAGACCTCACCACTGCACTCCAGCCTGGGCAATGGAGCAAGACTCCATCTCAAAAAAAAAAAAAGGGGGGGAAATGATATGAATAGATATTTGTCCAAAGATATATGAATGGCCAGTAAGAACATGAAAAGATGTTCAGCATTCCTTAACATAGTATCAGGGAAATGCAAATCAAAACCACAATGAGATACTATTTCCCAACCACTGGGATGATTATAATTAAAAAGACAGATGAAATAAAAAGTGTGAACAACGATGTGGAGAAAATGGACTCTTTATACATTGCTGGTGAGAATGTAAAATATATACTTGCTGTGTCAGGCGGTCTGGCAGTTTCTCAAAAGCTAAATATAGTCACCCTATGACCCACAGTTCCATTCCTAAGTTGTGCCCAAGAGTAATGGAAACTTATGTCCACGTCAAAACTTATATATGACTGTTCAAAACAGCATTATTCACAATAGCCAGAAAGTGGAAACAACCCAAGTGTCCATCAGCTGATGAATGGATAAACAAAATGTGACATATCCACGCAGTGGAATACTATTCTGCAGTTAAAAAGAATAATGGGCCGGGCTTAGTGGCTCATGCTTGTAATCCCAGCACTTTGAGAGGCTGAGGCAGGCAGATCACGAGGTCAGAAGTTCAAGACCATCCTGGTCAACATGGTGAAACCTCGTCTCTATTATAAATACACAAAAATTAGCTGGATGTGGTGGCACATGCCTGTAGTCCCAGCTACTCAGGAGGCTGAGGCAGGAGAACCTCTTGAACCTAGGAGGCAGAGGTTGCATTGAGCCGAGTTCACGCCACTCCACTGCAGCCTGGTGACAGAGCAAGACTCTGTCTCCAAAAACAAAAAAAAAATAATAATGTTCTGATAGATACTAAAATGTAGATGAATCCTGAAAACATTGTGCTAAGTGAAAGAAGCTAGACACAAACAACTACATACTGTATTATTCCATTTATATGAAAAGTTGAGGATAGGCAAATCCAGGATAGACAGAAAGTAGATTAGTGGTTGCCAGGGGGAGGGGCCAGTAGGGAATGACTGCTAATGTGTATAGAATTTCTCTTTGGGATGACGACAGTCTGCTAAAATTGAATGTGGTGATGGTTGAAAATTCTGAATATACTGAAGACCATTGTACTTCAAGGGGTAAATTGTATGGTGTGTGAATTATATTTTAACAATTCAATTATTTCAATAAAATAATTAAACCCAACAAGATTTAAAAGAGAGACTAAGACTGATTCATAATAAACTGAGTTTTATTCTAAGTAAGTGGTAACATGCTACTGAACCTTTCTGTGCCACAGATTTTAGGGTGCATTTTTAAGTGTACCCTAATGAGATAGGGTGAGTGTGAGTATTAAATGAGTTGATACTAATAAACTTCCTAGAATGGTGCCTGACACATTGTAACTGCTCAAGTGTTAGCTGCTTTAATTATAATACTTATTATTAAATGAAAATTATGTCCAAGAAAAATTATTTGTAAAAGTATAATACTTAGTTTAATTTGGTGATTGTTAAAAGAAGAGCACTTAGCTGGGTGCCATGGCACGTGCCTATAATCCCAGCTTCTTGGGAGGTTGGAAGGGTCACTTAGGTCCAGAAGTTCAAGACCAGCCTGGGCAACATAATGAGACCTCTGGTCTCAAAAAAATTGAAAGAAAAGAAAAAGGAGCAGTTCTTGATCTGCCACCAATTTTTACAGATAGTCAAAGTTTCATATTAAATGTAAAGAATTCAAACATGCTCATTTATGCCAATTGAACTCACTATTAATTAAATGGGTGGGTCTTATAGAGCTTCCTAGGCTGTCTTCCTTCCTCCTTTCTTTTTTCTTCCCCTTCCCTTTCCCTTTCCTTCCTT